CTACTTCCTCACCAAAGGTGCCTGGGGCCAGCTTTGCAGAGAGGGCCTGAATGAGGCTTAGCTTATTTCTGTGATTACAAGATAAGGAATTTATCTAAATAAGACATTGAGTGATACATCACTACACTTCATACATGCTAGAGTAGGTCTCAATAGGGAGGAAGTAAGTATCATCCTGCAATCAAAATAAAACCTCAATTATCCACAAGCACACAATCCAACCTCCTCATGGCTTCCTCCACTGTGCCCTATGCTTTCTGGGGACTCACCTCCATACATGCTTACGATTAGGGATGACAAGGCAATTTTCCTGTTTGTCTAAAAAGAATGGTATTCATGCAATCGCACTGCCTTAGGCAGTCATACGATCCATACCAAAGGCAAATATAAATGCACTTTGTGAAGCTCTAGTATGTGGAAGACTACCTGTTACAACTTCCTCCAAGTTACCCTCAGAGGGAATAAGGAAGCCACAGACTGAAGCTGGTAACCAACGTTCATAGTCTGTAACTTCCTGTATTTATTGTTTTGGGGACAGTCACCATTAGGATCACTAGCTTGATGACAGTGATGCCCAAAGAAAGGGCATCATAAACAAATTGGGGCTGAGGCAATGGTACAGAGGGTTTCTCAGAGACGACATAGAGAGCTCTGGGATCAGACCCACCGGGGTCCAAGCCTCAGCTTGGCCACTTCTGATCTGTACGACCCACACAAGTTGTTGAGTAATCTCTCTCAGTCTCACTTTTCTCGTAAAATGAAGATACCAATACCTGCATCATTGCACTGTGATGACAGTCATAAACAAACAATGCTTAGTGCTGTCTCAATAGAATTCTTATTCAAAAGACAAATTCCACTTAAACATACCCTTCACTTAACATTTTTTATTCTCTCTCTCTCTCCTGGACATCACCATGAAATAGTTAAGTTTCTGGAGCAGAATTTTAACTTGTGAATCACTGAATCTTAACTTTCTCTGAGGCATTTCCAAGTGATGCTTCTGCTGAATGCTACTTAACATGACATTTTCCCCCACTGCACCAGAAAAACCTCAGTTAATGGCCTAATAAGCAAGGGAAGACTATTTCAAAAAATGGGCTTGGAGAACATGAGAAAAGCAGGGAAAGTGCCTTCTGGAGGATCTTAGAAGAGAATCACAAGCATCCATCAACCTCTATTTCTATTGGATTGATTGGCCAGCTAGAGAACTTTTTTTCTGAAACTACAGGTGATTTTCATCTTCAGCGAAAAGACAGAGACCATCTCATATATAAGGGAAAATCAGTAACTAACAGCATGCACAAGTTTCAATAATGAGTCACCGGTTACCATAGTGATGCAAATATTACCTAACAACTCACTGGGCTGTAAGTAACCAAGATGATGCTACGTATATTATTTTTAAAATGGGAAAAAATGTCTGTATTTTTAGGAATACTTGCAAGGAAGTAGATGGACCTAAGCAGCAGACTGAAGGCAGCCCAGGATCAACCCTGTGGAGCCAGGAGTCACCATCATCTCCTGCTCTGTCCGTGCGGAGCTCCGTGACACATGCAAACCCACAGCTGTGCCCAGTGACAGCTGCATGAGGAAGAGCGATGACATTGTATTTACAAACAAAGAACTATGATAGGGAAGATGAGTCTTCTCAATCCCTAAACTCTTCATAAAAGAATAATCTCTGCTACAGCCCACTGAAGATGAAAAACTCCACATGACAGACTTGGTGGCCAGTCCTTTATAAACTCAGTTTCAAGAATGTCCTCAGGCAAAACAAGATTCCCAGAAAATAACTAAGATGCACCATAAAATAATAATTTCCCCCTTTCTCTACAGTTTGAATGTTCTGCATATACATGAATTTTAATTGGGAAAAAAGTATAACCATCATATGATGTTAATAATTTTCAAATTATGCCAAGAAATGGCAGCACACAAACACATTCCTACATACTTTGTTTTTTTGTTGTTGTTGTTTTTGTTTTCAAGATGGAGTCTTGCTCTGTCACCTAGGCTGTAGTGCAGTGGTGCAATCTTGGCTCACCGTAACCTCCACCTCCCAGGTTCAAGTGATTCTCCTGCCTCAGCCTCCTGAGTGGGACTACAGGCATGTGCCACCACACCCAGTTTTTTTTTTGTGTGTGTGATGGAGTCTCGCTCTGTCACTGAGGATGGAGTGCAGTGGCACGATCTCAGCTGACTGCAACCTCTGCCTCCTGGGTTCAAGCAATTCTCCTGCCTCAGCCTCCTGATTAGCTGAGACAACAGGCGCGTGCCATCACACCCAGGTAATTTTTTTGCATTTTTAGTAGAGACAGGGTTTCACAGTGTTAGCCAGGATGGTCTCTATCTCTTGACCTCATGATCTACCCACCTTGGCCTCCCGAAGTGCTGGGACTACAGGTGTGAGCCACCACACTCGTCAACTTTTATATTTTTAGTAGAGATACGGTTTTGCCATGTTGGTCAGGCTGGTCTCGAACTCCTGACCTCAGGCGACCCACCCGCATTTGCCTCCCAAAGTGCTGGGATTACAGGTGTGAACCACGCGCCCAGCCTACATTCCTAAATTGAACTTTGTGCTCAACCGCTGGACAGAAGGCGTAATGTCCTGTACACATGGGTCCCAGTTCTCTAGAAAATAGGCCCCAGGGCTGTTTCTCCCAGTGGTTCCAGGTATCCAGCATCAGACCGCCCAGAAGGTGCTTTAAAAATGAAAACTCCCAGGCCATATCCAAGTCCCACTCACTCTGAGTCTCTGGGGTTGGGATCTAAAGCCCCACTTTTTTTTTTAAGGTTCTCTGTGCCATGCTTATGTTCTCTCTGAAGTCTAAGAACTCCATCTTTAGTGATCTTCACTACACTGAGGTCTCCAGACAATGGTGACAGAAGACAGGATGTCACTGGGGGCCATCTGCCAGCACAGATTACTCAGAGCCAGAACTATTCATGACTCAACAGCTTTTTTACCACAACCGAGGGTAAATCACCGGTGTAATCTGCATGTATTATGTATGTGGGTAGGAGAAACAAGTATTTCACAAGCAACACAGGAGATATACTCTGACCTAATCTACTCTACTACGTTCCAGTGTTTAATGCTCTGGCAACTAACTGAATTGATTTCACTACCCAGTAACTGCTATGAATGAAACCATGGTGATACCTTTAACTGCTGTCATTTAACTTGGATTTCTACATAACTTCTTTAATCTCACAAAGAATAGCATGCAAATTATATACATGCAGTATAAAATAAAGGAAAAATATTAAGAAACTGAAGTAAAGGGAAAATAAAGATAGGAAACTAAATGTTTATACGGAAGAAGTCAAAGGAATCAAAGGTAAACTTAATAAATACAAGGCATGGCAGGAAACTGAGTTCACTTGTTAACTCCCAGCTTTGTTTTTTCTTTTTCTCTCAAGATGGAGCCTCGCTCTGTCGCTCAGGCTGGAGTGCAGTGGCATGATCTCAGCTCACTGCAACCTCCGCCTCCCAGGTCCAAGCAATCCTCCCACCTCAGCTTCCCGAATAGCTGGGATTACAGGCACCTACCACCATACCCAGCTCATTTTTGTATTTTTAGCAGAGACGGGGTTTCACCGTGTTGGCCAGGCTGATCTGGAACTCCTGACCTCAAGTGATCTACCCTCCTTGGCCTCCCACAGTTCTGGGATTACAGACGTGAGCCACCGTACCTGGCCCCTTTCTCAGCTTTCTGGCAATCAACATGAAGAAGAAAACAGCATCAGTTACAAAATTCCCAGTGTCCATCTGGGAAGAACGACACAATTTCTGAGACGCATTCAGGCCTTGGCGGCCTCTCTGCTGCTGAACTGAATCCCTCCCTCCGTCTTTGGGGTAGAGCAAGGGACTCATCAGTGGAAGTAGGACCCTTGTTACTGCCTCCACCTTCTACCACCACCTGATTCATGGGTAAAATTACAGTCACTCTAGGGACTACTAACTGGGACGAACAAAGCCTGAGGCCACCCGATTCTCCCTCCTTCAAGAGCACTTTGTACTCACTTCTGTTTCAGCACTGGCCACCTTGTTATAATGACAGCTGTTCACAGGGGTGTTCCTTCCCTCCCTGCTGACCCCACAAGATCAGTTTCATGAAGACAAAACTGTTTCATATGCATTTCAGTGAGCTCGGCCTAAAGTGTTGAATGCAAAACTATTGTGGAAATTCCAAAAGACAAAAATCAAAGAAGCACAAAAATCTAAACTTGCTTCTTGTAGAATCAAGTATGAAGCATTAGTCTAACCATTTGTCCTCAATGATTCAGTTTCGTACCTGTTACCCAAAGCCAGTATTTTTATAGCCCAGGTTAGTCTTAAGGAAGAAATCTGTGAACAGATGTAATGTGCGTGGCTCAGTTCCTGGCACACAGTATGCACTCAGTAAATTCCAGTGTGCCCTTCCTCTATCAGGGATCTTGTACATATTAATTTTACTTGCTCCCAGGGCCATTGCTGTCTTCACAAATCCCTCCTTCTCCTTTACTCTTGCTAAAAAGAGTTCAAATCACCCAAGAAGACAGCTGGGTTCCCAAGATTCATAGAACACTCTTAGTGCCTACATACATAATGCCACATTTGAAAAGGTTTCTTATCATTATTTCATGTACATTAAGCAAGGGTTAGAGGGTATTTTGGAAAAACAAAATCTGAGAAAGAAAAACCCAACTAAGTCATTAAGTATCAAATAAATCCTTTAACCAAGCAGTAAGAAAGAGATAACATATTCACTCTTCGAAGGCAACTGCAGTTGCTGAACAAGACATGAAACATATTTGGTCTTTACTCTTGAGCTGCTAAATATCATCTTGTGGATGCTAAAGTAGCAGTTATTTGCTTTACAGACCCTATTTTCATGGATAGTAGAGACGTAAAATTTAGACCAGCATGTCTAGTCCTGAACAGAGGAAACATCATCATGATTTACTTTCCTTCAACATGTGTCCCATATTAAATAATGTGGTTGACCTACCTTTTCTGTGATATAGAAGTTTGAACTATCAGCATGCTGCAGTGCATAATATTCATGGTTGGGAAGAGACCACCTTAAAAATACAAGCATATACTGATTAGAAAAATGAAAGTGGCCATTTTCATTTGTGTAATTTTTTAGTGTTGGATTAACTAAGCACCCTGTGATTGGAACTGGACCAATCCCAACATATACCACAATGCAGTTCCTAAAGCAAAATGACTTTAGCCTACCTTCCACACCCTGAGACCAAACATTTCATGTGTGGACTGCCTAGACCTTATGCTAGCCCTGCTGCTCACCTTTAAGCATTTCATCTTCAAGGCTTGCTGTGGCAGATTTAAATACAAATCTTTACAATTCTACTGATTTTAAGGGATTGAAGCAAAGAAAGAAAATAAATGCAATTTAAGTTTTGGATATTCGGCACATTTTAATTGTCTCTGTATTCTACAATCCCCTATCAGTATAGTTGTTACAGACTGAAACACTCCAATTAAGTACTCTAGGCCTTACACAAATTTCAGTGAACACAACTATTTTCACAGTTCTGGTTTAAAAGAAAAAAAAAAAAAACTCATGCAGCTACCATATATACATTTCCTTTGTATTGTTTAGAGCAGCCACAAAAAAGTAGGAAAGTCATATCATTGTGAGATCCCATGGGGCAGTACAATTACCCACTGCCTTGTCTGTTCAGTTCTTTCATCCTCTATGAGGACCTGAGTGGTCCTCTCAGTTTATACCAGATCAAGTGTGTACTGCGCCCTCAAAAACTCGTAGAGTACTCCCTGCTGGGTAGGACAAAAGGAACACAACTTCCTAAAATAAATAAAGCCAACCCCACTGTGCACATAACAGTCATTTCACACTTTCTGCTCTATGAGGACTAATGGTAAATTCTGGTGGAAAAGGGTGTGATACTCCTACAGAGTAATTCTTAGTGACTTTGAGCAAGTCAGTGGGTGACTTATGAATAATATTTTACTATTCTACTGGAAATATATTATTTGCTTGTCAATTTATCAACTAGAATGCCTTAGATAAATCCTGAGTAACACTTACCCATCACAGACTTCCTTTATTATTGCAGACAGTGGTTTTTTCTGCAAAATAACAAAAAAGGAAATACTTTGTTAGTTTCATTTCATCATTTTAAATTTAAAAAAAGAAGAAGCTTCATAAAAGGATACCTAAGCAAAGAGAATTTACATTCGCTATTCTTAGTTGTCAATAAGCCTCTTATTTTTCTCAAGGTAACAATCTACCAGCTGTTACCACCAAATGTATTGATTTATTACCGCTGTGGTCCTTTTTTCTATACTTAGCATTATTAGTTGAACAAAACATGCATCATATTTAATCTAGCCACACTGAAATTAGGGTGAAAATATAGCTTTGTTCAAAGATCTCACAGACAACGGAAGCCCATGAGGCCAAGTCAAAACCAGAATCCCTCAGGAATAGTACATGAATCAGGCAAGCTGCAGTTTGGCTTTATGCAAAAATCGTGGATTGATGATATTTTTATGAGAACATGTGGCAAATGGACTATGAAGTGTTACGAAATGGTTCTTACAAAGTACATAGAATTCTTCCCCTGACGATGGCCCCGATAAATGCCAATCATGCAGCAGCTTGAGCCAGATACACTCCAGTAATGCGACCATGACACCATGTGCCCTGGTGTCAACTGGCGGGTGACTACAGCTGTGCTCTTGCGCCTAACAGCCACACTTGTGCTCTGCCTGCCTCCAAGATAGAAGGAATGCAGCAGAGAGACACACCAGCTCTCCTAGAGATGTGGAAACTCTTCCTGTTTTGGATGCAAACAAGACCCTGTCTCTAGGATGGCGAGTATCATGTCAACCCAAAGAACAATCACAGACAAGAAATGAATGGGGAAGAGAGGAAGAGAAGATGAGAAATCAGAGAAGTACAATACATGGTCTGGGTTTTCAGATACAACCATAAAAAATCTGTCTACATATAAGCAAGTTTTACTCCTGTCTATATGAAGGGAAATGTGGTATCTGCAAAGAGATTCTGAATCCAAGAGATCAGTTCAAATCCACGCTCTATCACCCTGTTTGCTGTTTAAGTAACCTGCAATTTTCTTCATTTGCTGAACCCCAGTTAGTTTATCTGTAAAATGGAAATAGATTCTACCAACCCCTCAAGTTGTTACAAAAATTAAATTATATTAATTATATTTTTAAATTAATACAAAGGGCAAAAGACTTCAAAAAAGGATTAGGACTCCTGAAAGGGCTCCATTTCCTCCTTGCATCCTCACCCTTGGACATGATACTATGCCTGCCCTATTGGTGAATTCTGAACACCATTTGCATAGTCCTCTCCAAGGGCCTCCCTAAACCCTACTAAAGGCCCAGTTCAGTGTGCAGTGTCCCTCTAATGAACTCTCTCCCACTGGAGCTCCATCCTCTATGAGCACATTCACTACCATGTGTGCAAAAGAATGTGTCTTTGCCTACAACTATAAACACAGTTGGAGGTGTTCGTTGCAGCACTATTCACAATAGCCAAGATTTGAAAGCAATCTAAGAGTCTATCAACAGATGAATGGATAAAGAAAATGTGGTACATTTATACAGTGAAGTATTCAGCCATAAAAAGAATGCGATCCTGTCATTTGCAATAACATGGATGGAACTGGAAGCCATTATATTAAGTGAAATAAGCCAGGCACAGAAAGACAAACATCACATGTTTCCATTTATTTGTGGGATCTAAAAATCAAAACAATTGAACTCATGGAAAGAGAGAGTAGAAGAATGGTTACCAGAAGCTGGGGAGGGTAGTGGTAGGGTTTGTGGGAGAGGTGGGGATGGTTAATGAGTTCCAAAAAAAATAAAGAATGACAAGACCTAGTATTTGATAGCACAACAGGGTGACTATAGCCAATAATTAAATTGTACATTTTAAAATAAAAGAGTATAACTGGATTGTTTGTAACACAAAGGATAAATGGTTGATGGGATAGATACCCCATTTTCCACAATATAATTATTATATATTGCATGCCTGTGTCAAAACATTTCATGTACCCCACAAATACATATACCTACTATGTATCCACAAAAGTTAAAAAATGAATAAACACAGTTGGAAAGAAAGGGAAACCTAGAATTACTGAGGAGTAGAAAGATGGTGGGGGTATTCCTTATATCCTGCATCTGTCCTCTAGAATAAGATGACAATGGCAATTGGGTTCTACTGTAGTTACATGTTACGCAAGTCCTAGGCCTTTGCAAGAAGCTGTCCACTGTTGATGGCTCTTGCTGTGAACTGATGAACAAATGTGTTCTCTCAACCAAATGACTAAGGAACTTCAGAAACAAAACTTTTTTCCATTAGACAAGAATTTTGCCCTTCCAGCTGCCAGAGATCCCTCTACGCTATCAATTTGTGATGACTTATCAGAGAATCTCCCCAAATCTCACTTCATGCACCCTCAAAACTGAAACACAAATAACAGAGCCAGGTTTTAGTCTTACATAACACTGAAACAAAAAGTCAGGTCAAGAAGGTATTGTTGAGGTAGCGGAAGGCATCAAAAGCAACTGTTCCCGGATTTAGACTTAGAGACTGAAGTCTCTTAGAGGAATTACTTGGATTTCAATTCAGGTCTGATTCATAGAGAATCGAGTTTTAAAAGACAGAGGTCTCTAGGGTACTATTATACCTAGAACATAATGAAGTTGGATATATGAAAGGAATAAAGACCACAGATGCACAAAGCTTAGAGACTTAATAGAGAAAGATGAAAGAAAAACTGTAAACCACAGAGGAAAAGGAATTATAGTTGAGTGAACACCCATAGGGTAGCCTAGCCAATTAAAATGAGTGTTACATAATGATGGGCCCCTCCATTCTTCCATCTACCTCAATCAAACGTTAGCCCTCACCACCCAAAAATTAATTCCAATAACCTTTTCACCGTTCTTGCCTTCCTTTTCCTGTCTGCCTTATTTGACACTGTTACTACTTTCTTCTTTTTGAAACCCCCTTTCCAGAGCTATGATATAGTACCATATTTTCTTCATTCTCCTACACATACAACTAATCCTTCAATGAAGTCCAAGAAATCCTTCATAGTTGCTCTTTTACCTGTAGCTCTCTAACTCCAGATTTTTTTTCTCATCTTTTCTGCTTTTATTTAGTCAGTCAGTTCCTCATGGATCTCATTCTATTCAACTGTCCTAAGTCTACAGTTGTAGCCCCAAACACTTTCTTGCAAATCTTTGACAGTCTCTTAGACGGAACATTTTAACTGTCCTGCAGGGATCTTATTAAAAGTGGAAACAAAAATCACCACTTTCACATTCCCTACCCCTCAATCTACCCAATGGTAGCACACGCCCCTCAGATCCCACACCCGATGCTGCCATGACTTCTCTGCCCTTATTATGGCACCACTACTGCCCAGGAGTCTCGTTAACCTTTATGTCTTCACTCTTCAGATATAAGGTGCTAACAGGTTATGTACATGTTTCCTCTGTGATGTCCACAGCATTGCTTCTCACGGCCTAACTGTTCTTCTGAACTCCTGACTCTCCTCATTCCAACTCCTGCCATCAAATAGATCTTTGAGTGTACACCCCAATCTCATCACCCTTAATTCTGCTGCTTCTGACCCAGCACCTTTCCTGAGTACCAGCCCATCATTAATAACTATTTGCCATGAATTTCCAATCAACTGCTTCCCTAGAAAATCAACCCCAAATCGTATCTTCCATCAGTTCCTATACTCAACTTGCCTACTTTCAGCAGTTCTTTGAGGCACATTTCTAGCCAACTTGTCCTTGTCTTCTCTTTCTTCCTTAATACATTCTGTGACATACACATTTGCAAGACACTAAGTCTCATCATTACTTCCACAACCTCTCTCTCTTTAATCTTTCCAGACCTTTCCTACCACCTTTGTTCTAAAGATCCCATCACCAGGTCCCTGCACATAAGTCTCCACATCTCCAATTTCTTTTTCTCCAATCCCCATGTCAACTATAAATACACAAAATTAGACTTGCCCTACAAACTTTGCTTATATCACTCGTTTTTTCCAATAAAAGTGTCAGTCCCAGCTAGAAGCGGTGGCTCACGCCTGTAATCCCAGCACTTTGGGAGGCTGAGGTGGGCAGATCATGAGGGCAGGAGATTGAGACCATTCTGGCCAAAAATGCTGAAACTGTCTCTACCAAAATACAAAAAAAAAAAAAAAAAATTAGCTGGACGTGGTGGTGCATGCCTGTAGTACCAGCTACTCAGGAGCCTGAGGCAGGAGAATTACTTGAATCCAGGAGGTGGAGGTTGCAGTGAGCTGAGATCATGCCACTGCACTCCAGCCTGGCGACAGAGCAAGACTCTGTCTCAAAAAAAAAGAAAGTCAGTCCCTTAGCTTGTCACCCAAAGCCATCCACAATCTGGTCTCCGTAAGTCTACTATTCTGTACACGTTCCCCATGCTTCTGGATCTTGATGGTGAATCACCAAAAACAAACAAACAAACAAAAATCCCATCTCCACACTTTCGCTCATGCCATTAGCTTTGTTGAAATGGCCCTCTCCTTCTTTCTGTTCCAACTCTAACAAGGAACTCTTACCTACCATTTAACGTCTATGTCAAAGCCACCCCCTCTAACCAGATGCCCCCTTATCTCCCTAAATAGATGTAATTACTCCCTCTGTGGACTTAGCAGATTAAATGATTCACTTCTGAGGACTGTATATCTATCTTATCTCCCCATCCCTTGAGAACAAGGCATCTTAATTCATCTCTGTAGCCTTCCCCACCCCTCAGTACTAGTTACCACAGTATGTAGGTATTAACAGGATCTAATAGGAGACTCAATACACCTCTGCTAAATGAAAAAAATCTATACATTCACGAACTTTCCTTTAAAAAACAACAACAAAAAGCCAACTATTTTTAATGATAGCCTGGATTAACCAGCATATTTCCCATTTCCTACCACTGCTGGGTGACTGAGCAGCTGCTGGCCATAAGCTGTTAGACACTGAAAGCTGTCACTACTCCCTGTGCAGTCATTCATGTAGGAATTAGGCAATTCATGGCTTGGAAGAGC